CACAATAATAGATCTTATGCCAACATCACTGCCAACACACCGCCTGAAGATTCGCCTTCAATTTCCATAAATAAGTTCTTCGAAGAATTCAAAACGATGATTAATCCATTAATCATTCTATTAACCTCTGTTCTTAATCGCTTACAACCGGTCACGGTATCAGTGCCTTAACTCATACCGATACGTATTCTATCATTATATTTGTCATATTATATACAATTCTATTTTTATTTTATTTTTTTTTATTTTTGTTAATGTCAATTTAAGTACTATGTAATTGTCGAACTGTAATAGTTTATGCTGATGGTTCTAAAATAAAAAAAATAAAAAAATAAAAATATATATAAATCGCATGCGTTGTCAGTACGTTGTCACCGTCTTACAGAGTACAGAAAAAAGAAGTACAACGTGACCAATTTGTGTACAGAAGAACCATTTTTTGTGTTGTTGTCTTATAAGAGGGAATAATACTAAATATATCTATTTTTTATAAAACTAAGGTTCTGTATTTAAACCAATTCACTTGGCTGTTTTCAATTTCACTCTTTTTGAAATATTTCAATGAAATTATGGAAAATATTTTTTCCCTTTATAAATGATACAACACTATGCTATAAACATATTCGGTTTTAGATGATAAAAAATTATTATTGATTATATAGGAGGTATTACACTCAAAAACATTGATAAAGGACGATTTTTCAACCAAAGTTTATAAATTTCCTAAGATCCATACACCTTATACTAAGTATAAGGTCTAGGAGTAGTAGTGTTCAAACAGATCCTCCTCTGCTGTCAGTTTAAACGGAAAAAAAAAAGTATAAGGTCTATGTTTACTGTTTAGATCACATAACGGTTGTACCTATCAATCATACGATTGAATGCGTGAATGCGTGATACAAATCGAGTATTTGACCCCATAATTTCCCTTATGTTGGCTTCAAAAATACTAAATATCTGCAAACGAAAAAATTAGATTACAAACCAGTACAAACCATTTACAAACAAATGGTAAAAAAAAAAATTCGAAATCAGGGTATTTTTCCAGCTCCTCCCCCCCCCCCCATCGAAACTTTGAATTTTAAATAACAACTAAATCTCTACAAACGAAAACAAATGAGATTACAAACCTTTAAAAACCACCAAAGACGAGTGCTAAAAAAATTCTAAATTGGGGTGGTTGGGGAAAAGGATCTTCAATTGAGTCCCTTTTGGCTAATATTTACTCAATTATTTATTAGTGTTCGACAAAATAAGCCAAATATGGATTATAACACTTGAGAGTATTGTAGCATCCTCTCAAACTATATGACATCATATTAGAGATAGGTATACTCACTTTCCATACAATAATTGTTTGATCAATAGTCCAAACGGTGCATCGATGATCAAATACAGCAAAGCACCCATAAAGTATGTTCTGAACGATCCGAAAATCCATCCATCAATCTGAAACGTCATGCCAGTAAGTAAAAAATACAATCATGTATAAAATATTTTTCACATTGAACCAGTTAATGAAAAAAATTATTACTTAAGTTATTGTCAAGGTTACATTTAGATCGTTGAGTTATAAATTAGTAATTGGAATTTATTAGTAAACGAACAATAATATTATGTAGGTATGTGTATATTATATATTTTAATTTTAAAAGTGTAAAGTTATGATTACAAAGAAATGAATAGCTTATCTCATCTAAAACTATGACTTATGATAACGTCGCACCCGCATGTGTTGTCTCCGTCTTACTTACGTACAACAGCAAAAACCAGGGAACGAAAACGCTTACATAACGTTATGATTATAACGTTATACTAGTAAAAAAACGATTGAAATAGATAACAGAAAACAAAACAGTAAACGATTATATTAAATTATCATTAAACAATACTCAGCTATAAACGACAATTTTAGTAAAACAAAAAACTAAGCAAAACGATAAAAGAGGATGTAAGCACATTATTTGTTTTCTCCCTCAGGCACACGTGCAACATACCTATTTTATGTTTAGCAGAATCAACCTTGAGTTGTTACTTTTAATATTAGAACTAATTCACCTTTTAACAAACTTTAAGTTAAGAACATTAGGTAGGTACCTGTGTCCCTACGTTACATATTTGATGATATTTTTATTTTTATGAAAGTTATGAACGTGTGAACTATTAAGATTTAAAAACGCCTATACATTAAAACCATGCTCTTTGAAAAAAAAAAACAAAAAAAATTAATGAAATCAGATAAATGTGATAGTGTATCCTGAAAAGCATGTTTTGAGCAAAAAAATTATGATTTTCATTTTTGGTCAACGGTGTCGTTAACATAAATACATACATTGTAAGCTCATACCCGTATGGCATATTATACACTCACACTAATCATAATTTACAAATCTAGCGGATTACAGAAATATAATTTCATATTGCCTAAATAAAAAAAAAAAATTAATTAAAAATTCAAATAATTCAAGCTAGCAGAAAGTATCATCAATGGTTGGCTCCTTTCAACAAAAACCTCATGTCTCGTTTACCTTTACCACATTTTCTTATTGTGTCTAATATTGATACAGATTGTTAATTACTTTTAAAAAATAAAAAAAATAAATAAAATATTGCCCAAATAGGTATTGCTCCTTATTCAATATACATCAGTATACCGGATTCAATACTGATAGTTTTGAAGGAATTCAATATTGGCAATTTGTACAGAGATTGTAGATTGAGTAAAGTGTGCATAGTAGGTAGTACGACCGCGGCGTGATCATTAATAGAAGTGAATGCGTGTAAAAAAAATAGCGGATCCCTTCCGCAGAAACACCTCAATACCACACTGCACGAATGTAATTTATTATTATATTAAATAATTTTTTTTTTTTGGTCAATAGTATCAATATTTCGTCAATCGCATAAACAATCTACTCTAAAAATAAATTTGAATTCGTTATGAAGTTCACGACATTTTGAACATTTGTGAACCTTCAGTAGGTCGCGAGGGTTATGAGTACCTATTCGATCGACAGGGGTAAAAATTATCCTGAATTAAACATAATATACAGGGTATCCCGTGAGGATATACCCATTAAATCTGAATTTTGGATGTTTTACCTATTAACTCAAAATAATGATTAAAAATATGAAATTAATGAAAATAAAATGTAGATCCATTAAAATGTTTAGAAAAATAAACCTCCCAAACCGAGTTTTTGACACGTGCATGAACTTACAGGGGTTGGAATCTGCATTGAATTTCACCCACACTAATAATCAATTAGGTACAACTAACGCACGATTGAAGGAATTTAAAACAAGATTAGAAATTGCCTAGATGTTGCCCCTTAAATATTAGCCATACCAAGCAATGCAAACGTATCTTTTTGAAGGAGCTGTGCTTTCGCAATTCTTTCTTTCTTTATGGTCACTGATTACATTTGTGTGTGTAGTAAATGTATAAATTATCAATATTGTGTACACACCCCACAAATCACCAGAATAATACATATTACTGGCGTGCATGCACATATTATCATTAGGTCATTAAATTAAAATAATATTCAAAACCAGTTTATGCACTTGAAATAGCTATAAGTCTGACAAAAGTTTAAGCACTTCCAATGGTTCGAATTAAAAAATGTAAAAAGACATTTGAATGCATATGAAAAAGATTACTTAGCGTTGGGGGGAGAACTTTTTCAATTTTGTATATTATTACAAGTATTGAATATATTATGCATTATACTCCGACCGATGCAAAGTAAACTCCTTACTAAATCAAAAATATTAACATTTTTTAAATCAACCCATTATAGGAGTACATATACTAAAATTCAAAATTTTAAAACCAAATTTGGTTGGATTTAAGAATTGAGTTTCAAAAAAGTGGCAAAATCGTTTTGAAGTAATCTCTATGGCAAAAATATTGAACATTGTATTTAATTTCGACAAGAAAACGTATAGAGTAAGTACCTATACATTGTTACTAATTGTTGGCTTAATATATTTTAAACTATACCATTTCATGAACTAATAATTACTATCAACTTGAGTACTTATTTACAGTTTTAAACTTGAAATTGTCTGATATTAAATCATATTAAAGCTAACCCATTTATTTTTAATATATAATAATACAACTTGATTTTTTTACTTAACTACAGCCCTGCAACTATTGCCATTAGCAATTAATTATATTATTTATTATTTTCATTTATTTGTTTATTTAGTATTTTGAATATTATTACTTTAAGTATTTCCGTGTAAAAATATTAATAGGAGACATTTAACATAATAACAGAATTTAGTAGTTTTATAATCGCACTTTTAAATTTGAATTTTTAATAAATACTATTTAATATTTATGGATAATATTATAATGATAGTATAAACTTATTTGTGTACAAAAAATACTTCACTTCATATTTTAATTATGATCGTTTGGTTACTGCGGTTGTAGGTATGTGTAGTCACGGTCAAGTGTAGTGGTCATGGCCACAGGAATTAATAATGGTAGGTATACATTCTGGTGTAAATGTGTAAAGCACCTGGTTCGATCACAGATTTTCCATAAAACATTTTTTTTTAAATAAGTATCGTCAATTCATTAATTTGTGAAAATAGAATTATACTTTAAAAACACATCCCCTAAAATCCAGGTAATAAAAAAAAGTAGTCGTTCTAGTATTCCCCACTTTATTAATAACTTTTAAACCAAAGGTTGTTTTAAAATTCAAGTTCCTCAATGTATCACAAAAACTTTGTTTCATGATCCACTTAAATGTTTTCAGAGTAACTTTAACTTAATTATTGCAAATAATATTTGAATGATAAAACTTGTTTATGATGGATAAGTCTGATAGGCCATCAATACTAGGTATAAATGGACAATATAGGTACAAGTCACTCGGCTGTGAGTATACTTTGTCAGTGAGTACTTACATGATATTATACAATGGGTCACTGTAATGGATGGTTAAATTTAAAATCAATGATAGGTACATAATTACTGCATATATATAAACAAATATTTCAAGCGGAGACAGCGTGTCAGCCTCTTTTTCTAAGGGTATTTTTAAAATGTTTTTTATATTATAATATTATATAGATTTTTTTTATTATACTTTATTAGTAATTTGTTTATTTGATCTAATTTTTGCCAAAAACAACTCATGTTATTATGTTATAATAATTATAACATTATAGGTATTATTTCATAGTTGTTATTATTATTTCTATTAACTTATAGGTTGTATAACTGCCATGACGTAGAACGGTGTGTATAGATTTGTGATGGTGTATTATAATACATAGCTCAAAATCAGTAAAATATTGCAACCAATATTGTAATTTGAACTTTAATGAGTACTGTATGTCAACTGTCAAATAATCTTATCAATTCTCATAAGGTAAAATTTCTTAATGTGATACTAAAACGATGATTAGTATAAAATATTCACTTACCAATGTGGACGATGAAGGGGTTACAGTTGTTCTTTGTTTACTTTCTATCATTATTATGACGATGATGTTGACAAGATAAACTGTATATGATAGTCTACCCAGTGGCACCGTTAATCTGTTGTTGAGTAGTTTTTCTAATGGGCCTAGGTATATAAATAATATACATTACACGATTTAATATGATCTTGAATTTTAAAGTTAGAGTAACACTTAATTCTATAATAATAGATGATAATGTTTTATTGATTTATATAATATATGTAAGTACTAAGTACTTTGTACCTATAGGTACATATTATGTATCAATTGTGTAAAAATAAATATTGGATTTTATATTTTTTAACTGAAAACAATGAAAACCAATTGAACAATTTTATGCTTAAAATTTTTTTTTTTCCAAATACAAGATAATTTTTATTTTTCATTCTCATTTATATTCCACACACAAATAGAAGGTAGGTCATAAATTATAATAACTTGTTTGTTCTCTTTATAAATAAATTTAGAATATAAATATGAATGTATAATTTGTTTCCTGTTAATTATTACTTAAGCTTAAAATGTTTCCAATTTCATTTCTAAATTACATTTTGTTTCATATCTATACGTATTAAAATAAGAATAGGTATTATTTTATTGGTAGGACACACATATAATATATGCTCAATAGGGAATAGTTAATAGTATAAATGTATAATAGGTATAATAAGTATATAATAAATAGTAAAACTGATAGGTAACAATTAACTAGTAATACACTAATACGTATAAAACTAACTTATTTGAGTATAAGATGGAACATTTTTTTTAATTTCTTACCACAAACACGTGGTACCAATGCCAATAAAATATAATTATTCCATGATATTGCATTACTCATTATCATATTCAATTCATTTACAAATACAAATTATCAGCAAGAAAAATTGTGAATTTATATTTATTCAGTTGGTAAGCTATTGTGTTGTGTCCCCCTTTTTACTTACACCTACCAGCATCATTCATTCCATCTCAATTATATATTCTTTATTTTAAATCAGAATTTGAAACTCAAGCTCAACTCAAGCTTTTTTTGCCGTGATCCCATAAACGAATGGTGTAACTAGTTATTAGTTAAGTATAGGTACCAATTGTAACCAAATAGGCACGTAATAATTTATGAATTAAGTGTTTTTACGATTGTCAACTTGTAGCGTAACTCATTTACCAACAATTATTGATGGAAACGAACAAGTGTCGTCAAATGTTTATTATATTTTTAACATTTCGGTTTTGTTTTATTGTTCTTAAACATATTTTTCAATGTGACGTACCATAACCGGTGGTGAAATGGCATACCGTTATCCAGAATAATATGACAGCCCACGTGCAGTGGCTAAAAGCAGCGTACAACGACTGTTCCATCGCGTTGTATGGCCTGTAGGTTTCGTAGAACACAGCTCCGTACAACTGGACCCAAAAGCAAACGGTGCAGACTACCACAGTTCCAGCGTAGACGACAGTCTGTGAGAAAAAACAAAAACATAAATCGTAAGTAGTGTGAGGCCAAAAATATCCTCTATTAGCCGAAGATTATAGCTGTATAGAGATTTTATTTACGTAGGTATAATATAAAATGTATAATATATACGCATATCAATCAAACAATATTTTAAATATTACACCTATTCAATATTCACTGAGCTGTTTAATGCGTGTATGAGTGTCAATATAGCCCGTCATTGTCCAATTATTTTTTACAAGGTAATAAATTACAATAAAATAATAATATTAGGTAGTCGGTATATTATTATAATTTATACTACATAAATGTATAAGTATAGTGCGTAATAAGAGCACGTGCGACAATTCACTCTCACTGAATTCTCCCATCTACCTTATGGATATAATTTATTAGTTTTTAATTTTTATGATAAAATAATAATTAAAAATATGTTTTATAATTCATATAAATAAAGGTAAACAAAATTTACTATGGATAATGAATAATTATGATTTTTTTGTCATCAAATTGAACTTGATTTTGTTTTGAACTTTTAATATCAACATTGCATCATAAATTAGTCCTTCTAAGCAGTGGTAGTCAAACGGGTGAGCGGTAGATCTCCACCGTTTCCTTTTTTTCGATGTTTATTATCTGATAACCATATTTTTAATAGTCAAATAGTACATGTTAAAAAAATCAGCCATATCCCCCCTCCTTGACAAAATTATAATTTGACCACCACTGATTCCCAACACAACTGAACATTAGAGAAAGGACACCGAAATGTGTATTTAAAAGTGGTTCGGAATTTTAGCCAGAATACGCGTCAGAATGTGTTGTTGTCGTTTTTACACGAACAGCATTAGTTTTTTATTATTATAATCTAAATGGTGAAACTAATGAATATTTACTATAGAATGGCGATCTATTTTATGTTTTTCCAGTTATATACGACTTCTAGACAAAGATGTACCTATGATTGTTTTTATGCTGTCTGCTCGTGACTATTTAATAAGAGGCAACATTTAGTCACGATTAGGCAGCTTAAAAACAATTATATACCTTTGTCTGGAAGTCGTACATAGTTGGAAACACATAATTTGATTGAGTACCTAAAATTCGATTTTAAAAAACGTTCTATAATAAGTATTAATTTGATTCACCATTTAGATTATAATAATAAAAAACAAATAAATTCCCTATGCTCTACATTTAAAAACGACATCACTATACTGTTCGACTCACATTCTGGCGTATGCGATAATCCCGGACCATATTTTTTAGCTTCATCCTGCTGTTTGGCGTCCTTTCCGTAATGTTCATGCCAGTACACTACCAATTAACAAATTCAACGAATTGTAAATTTATTAAAATGTATAACTGTATGTTATAACTTATAAGTGGCTGATTTGTTGTTTAAAAACCTTAATGATAATAATCATCGATTCGTTTAGTCAGTGTGTCACAATCTCTTCAATGAGAATGAGTTCCGTTATTATAATATTATAAATCTCGATCATTACGTTGCGTCAGTTCAAAATCTTAAAGAGACACTACACTGCAATACACTCAATTACCATTGACAATTTTATTTTTCGTTTTTTCAGCTCCTCAACCACGATTCCGGCAAGCAATCCGGCGTAAAAAGGTGTACCTCGGTGGTAAAACGGTCGGTAGTAATGACTAAACTCCGATGAATTGCTTGGATTCTGCAAGAACCTGTGGAAGAGGATATATAAATAGAAAACTCTTATATAATTATGCTTGTATAGTTGTATACTAGTATGTATAATATTATGTGATTATGCGAGTAATGCGAGTACTAAACGAGTTCACCGAGCCAAACCTGCGAAACTACAGGATAATCGAAGATTTGAAGCTACGTTTAAAACACCAAAAAAAAATGAAATTGCATCAAAATCCCTACCCTAATATTAACAACTATTTTTGAACAGTCGAAATAATTCAAAATAGAATAATATTATGTTGTATTCAATCTCTAAGTGTCTGTCGTTGCCCGTTGGGGTACTTACTCGTATTGGTATAAACTATAAATCTTAAAGGATTAAATCGAAAAATGTAATTATTTTACAACACGTGATGTACGTTATCAATGAAAACTTATATGTTTTGTTTGAGTAACATGTTATCTAATCAAGTCGTTCAAGGTACCTTTTTTTTATAATATTATTATGATAATACTAGTAGTATAATAGATAGTGACTATAGTGATTATACTCATCCCTTCAACAATGCAGGTACTAAAGCAATGTATTTCGCCTTTCAATGCTTTGTATCGAGTAATTTATACTTACGAATACATTATTCGAACCATTCCGTACGCTTGGTTGAAATAGGTTGTAAGGAACGATATTGCCAAGGACGTGATGAAGAGTGTAACAATTAAATATATTCCAATTCTTCGGTGTTTGACACAAATGTAAACCACTGTGGTCCCGATGACGAGAAACTGTAGCAGACACGATACGTACCAGCCGGAAATGAGACACTGTAATGGCAAACGAAAATGATTATGAATATTATGCTATAGAATACCCAGTGGCATGCTTAGCTTTGTTGTAATAGGGGGGGGGAGAGATATGAATTGTTGACTATCCTCTGACCACGTTATATAATATACAGTGGTAAATATTTAATACACCCGATTAGGGCATGATACATTTCCTGAAGTCCTACCACCGAACCACCGTACAGCATATTTTATTGCTATGATTTTTTTAAAAAGATTTACTAACTTTTAGATTGTGAAATCGCAGGTATCGCAATATATACACATTACACATACATATATTTATATATTATACTCAATTATCTTTTCTAATCTGCTTAACTATTATATTACGTATGTAGGTACTTACCAAAAACACCCAATTTAATATCATACAAAAATCTGCTTGCATAATGTGTTTTTCTATAACCAATGTTGTCATAACGTTAAATTTTTTTTTTTGATTTCAGTAACAAAAGTTTATCAATTATGAGGAATCTTGTATCACATTTTCAAACATTTTAACTATAAAATAACAATTTTCTTCTACATAAATTAAGAAAATGTATCTTGAATTTCTATATAAATAACTCACAGAAAGCCGAATATTTTGTTTGTTATGTCAAATGTAGAATATTATGCTAACATATCTAAATATAAAGTGAACATTTAAGATATCTACTATATTATATTAGTAATACGGTTATTCACTATATTGAATTACAATAACAACAATAAAAAAACGAAATACATTTTGTGGAAAACTGGTGTTGGGTTATTACTCAAATTTTTCTTTATTTTAGATTTTGAGAGGAGCGATGAATGTATTGAATTTACAATGATGTGTGTTTTTATATTTATTTTTTTTTTTGTGTCTGTTATCAAGGTTTCGGGTAGTTAAAGTGTTTCAATTTTCTTCAACAGCAATACTTTTCTGAAAGGAAAAAGAATTAAGTTGGCGTATTTGGTTGGTCAAAATTTAAAAATCCCAATAGTTCTCAAAAACAACAGGAAAAACAAACAAAAAATTAAGGAAAAACGAGAATTTTTACGCAAAACCATTTTTCGAAAAAATTGATTTTGGTTTTTAGTAAAAGTCAAACAAAAATGGCCATAAATACATGACATTTTCACTGTGTATTTGTGTAAGCATTTTCTATACACCATACAATTTTCAAAATATTTTGATTAGTGTTGAACAATTTGTTTGGTCTCTGCAATTTTCGATTATTATTTGTTTTTTTAAAACTCAAGTCAATAAAATTTTTCGCCCAAACAAAAATCTTGAAAATATAATAAAAGGTTCCGTGTAAGTTATTGTTAATGAAAATTTTAAAAGAGTAGATCGTAAATCCACAATAATTGTATATGATCGATTAAACTTAGAATTTTGACAAAATTTGTAAAAATCAAGGAAATTAGCAATTTATATTTAGTTAGAAATTCATAAAAAATTTCCTAGATTAAAAATTTATCACAAGATTCCTTACAAGCTTGTCCACATTTATCAAAAAAAAAATTTCTACCGGAAAGTCAAATTAAATTTTTAAGAGCGTTGGAAATTGAAATTTGTACAACATTCACTAGATTTCTTTTGTAGCGATTTTCTTATTTTGTTATAATTCAAAAACGAATTACTGTAGACACTTGAAATGTACACCAACATGTTTATTTCATCAATTCATATATGCTTGATAACATTTCAAAATATTTTGACTCATTTTAAGCTGTCGACGGACATTTTCAATTTTCATTTTTTTTTCTAAAAATGTCAATAAATTGTATTGGTTGTGTCAAAAAGCATGAAAATTTATACTAGACTCTTGATAACTTGTTACAATAGCAATTGAAAAATATTAAAAATACATATGCATGATTTTTTTTTATAAGCTTTTTAAGTTCAAATTTTGAGAATATTGATGAAATTAAAAATTGAAAATGATTTTGTAATTATAAATGTATACAATTTAGAACAAGGTTTCATTTAAGCAGAATTTTCCATAACTAAGTAATCTAAAAAATATATGAATACAGTTATTTTTTACAGACATTTTAAGTTCACATTTGGATAAAATTGCATATTAACACAAAGAATATAACGTTTATCATTTTGTTGTCATTCGGCTCCAAAACATCCCAATTTTACATTGGTATATTTAATATTTTTCTAGCATCACTAATAATTTAAGAATAATATTAATTAAACTTGCAGGCTATAATAACAGTATACAATATCCTAAACTGACATACAGTCTCCTCTCAGAATCGTTTTTCGTATACCTACAATGATTTTATAACATTGAATTAAAATCCATCCATTACAGCGACCTCCGAGACACCTAATGTACAGCAGAGGAACATCCACATACCCGTTTTTTTATTTAATTTTTCTCGGTGATTTTGAAACGTACCAGTAATTTTTACTTACATTATCAAGCAGATATGGACACCTTAAACACCCCCTCCTAAGTATAATCACTATACCTTATAAGTTATAACCTATACCTGCAGCTTCGATATTCGCATTTTCAATGGTGAATAAATATGATTCTTAAATATATAATCATCAAAATGTATATTTTTTTCATTTTACTTGGTTTTCGACTGGTATGTAGTTACTGACTGCCAATACATTAGCCCACCAATAATTTTTGCATTTATCAGCTTCAATCCATATCCTTGAAGCCCAAAATGGCCCGTTGCCCAAATGAGGAATGACAAAAGCTGTCATCAGCATCACGATCACATACGACGGTAAAACCCTTTTTCAAAAATAATCGTTATCATCGCCATTAATAATTTTAATATTAATAAACTGTGGTAGTGTGCGTTTATTTGCTAACAATGTCGCTTTATCACGGACTTTGAAATAAAAGTCACCATAATTAATAAAAATAGGTAATTCCACTTTTTTTAAAATCCAGTTTTTTTAAACTTTATAAGGTTATCGAAGATTCACGGTTCATAACGTTAATATAATTACCTGTGTGTTTGATCAATAACGTTAATAATCAGGGAATAACGGTTGATTTTCGTTTAACGCAGTATACCTACATATTATATAATACAAATAAATATATGATTGTAAATAATAAGTTAAATGGCCAGGAATACTAGTAAGCCTTGCTAATAATAGCTCTGACTGTGACTTTCCTATTTTTGATATATCAACCACGAGTTATCATGGTCCAATAGAAATAAATAATAAGATTTATTAATTATTATTTCTGTACACCTGACTACTACAATAAATAACAATATACTTGGCTAAAACGAAATCGTTTAGTCGAACTTGACCTAGTATATTATAATAAATTATTATTTTAAACCAAATTATTATCATTATTATTATCATTATTATTATCATTACTACACGTATTATAATTGTGTAATATACCAATTAGATATTTATACAAACTTCAAATATTTGTACGCGATCACCATGATTATTTGATACCAATTGGTGCCGGGCTTATTGAATTGCGGAATCAACATAACGTACATCAAGTAACCGGCAATGTAAAAAAACGGATCGATCAAATTCATGGCCGTCAATAAGAAATCCGAACCGTCCTCATACAACTTAAAATGAAAACAAACGCAAGAAAATAAATGAGGGTTGCGTGCATCATAGTATCATACAATTGTATTAAATTATAATATCGGTACCCACCGAGTAAATTATTCGCAGTATTAGTATTATATAATTATAGTATTTTATTATAGTATTATTTGGATTACCTTTTCCATATAAATGCCGCCCTTGATGGGATTTATTATAAAATATAGAAATATGTGGCAGAACAACACCAATATCATGGTAAAAACTTTTAGCCCATTGAATATGTTCAAATCATTGTTTCTATTGTATTTGATAAGATCTCTGAAGTTTCGAATTAGCGAGAATGAGCCGAATGTTTCTGGCATTTCAACTGTAAATATAATACAATAACAAATAAATATATAACAAAAATTAAATATAAAACTACTATTATTTATACATAATTCCTATGTATTAGTGTATTACACACTTATAACTAAAAAAAATAGTCTACCTACTTTTTTTCCCATTGTTACCCCGTATTATTAGTATCAAATGGCACACCGTCGATGAGCAGCAGACCAAGAATATGAATCCAACTAGTGAACTTGACAAGCACATACAAAAACAATATTCCAATTAATATTATAGCCGTACTGAAGAGGCGTATAATAAGTTATAAGTAATAAACAATATACCTACTACAAGTTATTAAGTATAAGCTATAATATAATATTATATTATATTTTAAATACAGTATATTATATAGTATTTATATTTTAAATACTATTTAGTTTTATATTTACATTTTACGTAGAATTTTGGTTTCAGTAGTTAAGGGCGTCGGTGCTATTTTTTCTAATTTTCCGCAATTCTTTAAAATTTAAAACTATAATTTTATTTTACTTAGGTAGTCGGTACTACCTTTATTATAGTACTTTTCCATAAATCTACCAGCAGATACCTATTTAGTGGTGGGGGGTTGATACAGTTAAAATGATGCAAGTTTACATAATATGACGTATTATATCAACGAAAATGGCTTTACGGGAAAAACTCTCACACCCTGTAGAACAGTCTGATTTAGTTTAATTTATTTTAAATTATTTTATTTTGAAGGAGAGAACTTTTTTGAGATCGGATAATTAAAGCCAGAATTTTACTTCAAATAGTGCTAAAAAATACGTTTAAAAAAGAACAAATATAATGCAATTATTCAAGTGCATATTTAAGCTTCTATAGTAATAATTTTTATAATCGGGCTTTGATCTAACGTGCAAAATGTTCTCTTCTTCCAAATAAAAAACAAATCAACGAAATCTGACTATTATACAAGATGTGAGAGTTTTTCCAGTAAGACATGTTTTTTGTAAACAAAAACGCACCGCCTCCGACTCCCCCAATACCCTCGAGTAACCTATATATAGTATTGAATTTTATTAAGTGTTAGCTGTACAAATGTTCAAATACAAATTAAATTGCAAATTGTCGTGATTTTGTTGGTCTGAACTTCAAAAGCGTAACAAAAAAAATTGTGACTTTATATCTTTAATATTTTTTAAATTTATGTAATAGTACTTATAAAGAACTTTGTGTTCAATTTTCAATCTGTTAGACAAAGTTAAAATGTGAATTGTTTTAAGTTTATTTATATGGCATAATATATTAATATTTAAAACTTACTGTTCAGCCGTACCGCTCAACACGAACACGCGTTCATGCTGATTTCGCAGCAGTATCGGCAAAGTACGTTTGTTAATTTATTGTTATTGTCATTACTCATTAATCTATCGATATCTTCAGAATATGAGCCTCGTATTACTCATCTTTTATCGACTCTTTAATACAACTTACCAGTCCAATTAATGGGTTCACATGCAAGTCGATACTCTCGTACCTCATTGTGCAGCACTTGGGTCGGATAAATTTCAACAAAATTTGTGGATTACCTAAACAATACTGACCCTAGTTTCCACTCCTTCTAGACCACGGTTATCTACTAAGGTTGGAGCTCGCTACTATGTTCCCCATGTTATAGCCGTGTCGAAGTGGCGTAACTAGTGAACTAAAAGCGCTAGTAGTAGTTGGCCCGGTTTTAATATATAATGAATAGGACAAACAACTTTTTTTTTTATTTAATATTTATAAACAATTGTGTTCTAATAAATAAGTTAGTTAATTTTAATAATGAATTTTATTTTTTATAGAATAGATGACTTTAAATTTTTAATTACTATAATAAAGTATTTAAAAACAAAATATTACGCGAGTATTGTGATAGAAAATTGATATCACGTTTTCCCTCCAAAAACGAGCAGATAGTATTCCTCGATATTTATTATTTTTCGAGCATCCTGCAGCTAAACTTATTGCTTTAAAATCAAGAGGTAACCTTGTATATCCAAACACTTATTTGTATGAATTCCTCAGTAAAGTTGAAAGTTCCTTTGCTAAACATTGTACACATTTTGATGTATTTGAAAGAGTCATAGATGAAGTTGTTGAAAGTAAATTTGAATTCAAATATTATACATGTGCAGAACATCAACTTGAAGTGGCTACAGATATTTTAGTTTATTTCATTCAAATGAGGTTACGCCAATACACATATCAAGAAAACCTTAAATTAAAAAAAGTATCAAGAGAAAAAAAGAAAATATCGAAATTATATAATACATGATAATTAAATTACATTAAAATATTAAATACTTGCTTATACTTGCTTGGCTTTTGCTTATTGCTTTTAACAATTAGTGTATGAATTCTTAAAAAAAAAAATATATATATAATATGTTGAAATAAAAAAAATTAATGTTTCTAGGATTCGAGAATTTAACATACAATTCATGGAATGATTGGGAGTACAATTGATCAATTGCAAAATGTGATTAAATCTGTTAAAAATGTTATAAAATTAAAAATATTTATTTTCAAAATTGAACATGTGAATTAGTGTTACCTACATTTCTTTCATGAAATGTTTCACTAAGCTTATTTTATAAAAACCTAATTTACAGACTTATCTGTTAATTAAATAATTCAAACCAAGTTGAACCAATGAACAATTTAACATTCAACATTTTTACCTAGAACAATTTTTTACAGAACTTAACTGCTTTTTTGTTTAAGTACAAAACTACAATCTATTGTATGTTTTACAAGTAAAAGTCGGGTCGACTACTACTAGCGCTTTTAGTTCACTAGTCACACCACTTGTACATGTGATAACGTGCCGTGCTCCAACCTTAGTAGATAACCGTGTTCTAGACTCATCAGTATCGCTCAGTCAAGTTTTTCGTCAGAAATCTGCAATTCTCCACCACAATAACCGATATTGCTACTGCTTTATTGGAATTGGAACTTTCTGTAGTAAATGTTAAAAATATATAATATAAAAATAAGCGCCCCCTTCCCATATTTTTTTTGGAAGACACCAATAATGCGGGAATTCTTAAAATTTCGACTTTACTCACTACCAAATTCACTATCAAAAAACATCACAAAATGTATCGCGGACCTCCGTAATGTCGAAGGTTCCAATCATATATATGGCTACACGCAAACCAATAAGACACAGCATCATGATTATTTATGTGCTATTTTTTCCAAACATCAATAATCTAAATATTTTAATTAGCCCATTAATTACTCTCATTTCATTATTTTTAAATGCACTAGTCGCCAAAAATACTGTCTTTTTTTCAGTTTCTTCCAATAATTCCTCTTATTACTATCTTATCTATTGTCATTACATTTATAAATTTCATTCTCTTTACATTTTATAATTTGCTTTAATTTTAATGCCATATTATTATTATGTTACGATATAGTATCTTATTTTTATTTCATTACATATCATGTCTATATCTGACCTTCATTTTTTATTGGTATTAGTATGTTATTTCTATATTTGGTTATTTTAAGTACTATACAAATACCTTGTATATTGCTTGTTTAGATAAATTTGTTATGCAATTGTCGAGCTATAATAGTACATATTGAATGCTTAAATATAAAAAAAAAATATTCAGAGCCCTGCATTTTATTATTATTAATTATAGCGCGCTATTTAAATCGGAAGTAAGCGACACGATTAAATAACACTCGAAAGGTTACGCGCACCACAAGCGATTACAAAATTATATTATGATACACAAATGTGAATCATGTGCATTTAATATAACTTAGATATTCGTTACCTGGTTAAATAATATCCGGTATCGTACGGATATTCGTCCTTATCCGTCGAACACAATATTGAATCAACTTGAACTTCAGCTTTAACTTGGTGTGGTAGAAAGTGTTTGTCGAATTCATTTTGTAGCGTGATCTGGAGGTCGGCCGCGGTGCATGAGTCTGGTATGCAAATACCGAATTTTATGATATTTCTATACAGTTGTTTGTCATGATCTACGAACTGTACAGTATATTTTACAATTAGAAATACGATAGGTATTTAATATTAATTATACGATAGGTTTCTAGGCCGTAATTCATGAGAACCAAACTTGGTACGTGCACTATATTACAGTTTTTTTCAATAAGACTTTTTTTAATATTTTTTTCTCATTTGTCAAAAGAAATAAGCTAGTAAGTTTTATATTAAATTGGCCAAAAGCACTTAATCATTTGTTTAACCCATTTTTAACCCACATTATACCTATAGTTGTTAGTCTGTCGACTTTTGTGAAGATTAATTCATTTTTAGTCGAGTTAGTTTTGTTCGTTACTAGTGTGTGCCAACAACTATTGAAATTTGAAAATATCAGAAAATAAGGATTTATCTCAGTGGTTATGCAAAACGAAAATTAAAGAAGGAGGCTGAAGATACAGTAAGCAAGTGACCTAAATTGACGAATTTCTTTGAAACTATCAATACTCAATAATGTCAACGAAGTAGAAATTAATACAACTAATAAACATGATTTGGTTCTAAATAATAAATGTTGAAAACATGAATAATATTAGTAATATAGTATCGTATCTAATACAATAGTTACTTCAAAATATGATGCTTTACATTTTCTTGAAAATAATATTAATATTTTTTCTACAGTAGAAAATTCAGTGATTGCAATTAATTTTGATTCAAATGTTCATAATTTTTAATTTGATATTAAATTGTATCAAGATCTGGGAATGTGACCATTAGTGATAAACAGGGCTCGAGACTTGTAGCATTTGCATATTTGTTTGTAGTTTATGAAAAGATAGCAGACTAGGCAATAAATCCATTTCAAACAAAAATGAACTCAATACCAAAAGTTTTTAGTGCATATTTTTGCATATTCTAGAGGTTTTGCTATTTATTGCTAATTAGTGTAAAAATCGAAAACTCAGTCTGCAAAAATACATATTTCGGCCACTCATCAGTGATCGACAGTTTTGGGACGTTATAAAACTCATTGTCGATTGAAAAAAATATTCCTAAAATATCCCAATGCAAGGCAATATTGCGTTTATCGTATCGCTTAATGTTGTTTCTGTTATCGACTTCGACCATACTTGCTTATATACCCAATAATATTATAAACTGTTCCGATCTACAACGACCTAATCGATTAGTTTACGTCGACTTTTGATTGCACTCGTATGTAGGTTTTTATTCGTATAGTGAATTTGTGAATTTATAAATTTTTCTTTGTTCAGCTTTGTGTTTTTCGTTAAAACATATTTTTTATATCATGCCAAAAGATAAATCATCACTAGCCCAACGGTTAATAAGCTATGTACAAGAATTCGGTTCAGATACGTTTTCACACGATTCATCTATAATTCTTTTCTGCAAATACTGAGAAATTAAAGTAAATTGTGAAAAATAAGAAATATTAAGTAATAAGTCTTCTTCCAGAACCTATCATTACCCGATGGGGTACTTGGATAACGGCCTCTAATTATTACTGCGATAATTTAAATATAATTCATTCTGTTTTTGAAAAACTTGACAACGACGATGCAGTCAGCATCAAAGAGGAAAAAAATACATCAATAAAAACCGTATGGATACAGACCTTATTTTTATCAAATCAAATTTTTCAACTCAGACTACATGTTTAAAAAAACTACAAGAACAGGATTCTCAGGATTTGTTATTATTTGACTCAATTCAAATAATAAATGATGTAGAAAAATCATTCGAATCACTGATAAACATCAATTTTATAGAATTATTCTTAAAAGGACCAGCATTTTTTCAGAATTTGGATCCGAAAATATTTCAATTTTCCGAACAAAATATAAAAATGATAATCGCTCAATAAAAATATCATTATTTGAATTTAAATTGCCCAATGGTGAAATACACTCACGTAAATGGCTCATGTTTTCTCAATACATATTGTCAACGTTTGTTGTTTTGTTTGTGAACTATTTAAAAAGTTAAATAATTCCAGTTGTATTAATCCTGACCTTAACAACACTTTACTCTTTGTTCTTACCGCCATGAGTCATATGAGTTACAACAGTAATACATCGATGATGAATCAAAAATAAATATACATCAAATTAATTTAATCCTAAAATTTCATAGAAATGTTTGATTAGTATGTGATCAGTGATCACAATGTCTATCGTACTAACTCCGAGTATCTCACGCCAGGCATGGTCGGTGCTCTGCGGTTGGTCGGGTTTGCCGATCTTAAAATCGATGCCGTTTGACGGTCCTAGTTTGACGGATGGTATGCAGTATTTACCCCGAACTGGCTGATGCACGCTGACGCACTCATCGTACACGCCCATCTGGTGAGTGGTGCCGGCGAGCACACCGTTTGGATAACGACTCCACGAATCGGACACTGCACATTATTAATATATTGAAAAAAAAGCATAACGATATTAATTAAAAATTAAAAATTAAAAATACCTTATAGTGGCTAATGCATACAAATAAATATAATATACTAAACTGCTAAAGGAGCTGTGCATATGGGTCTGGCAATGCTAATTGAAATAAGCCCAAAGCTAACTTTTAAAACTTTTTTGGGGGAGGTAGACCGATTCATAAAAGAATTCCAAAAAAATTACACATACTTAAATCAGCGAAATAGATCTTGGCACCCATATGTATTAATTATACTGTACATAATACAGCAACCCTGTGCGTCTATGCAATGTATACAGCTAAGTGCTGACGCCACCCACTGTGAAATTATGTTTACTTCAGAAATAAAAGGTTTGTTTCAGTATAACATGCAACATCAATTTGCATGTTGAATTTGAGTTTATATGATGTTCCTACTCCCAGATACGAGAGATATCGACAGTGTACTATGTAACGAAAAGTTGGCTGTACGTAAGATTTTTTTTTGCTGCATGATTTTGTCTCGAATATTGTACGCGATACATGTTTCATTATTGCCTACGAAAATTGCGAAAGCATAAACGATACACCTACTAAAGCGTGTTATTTTAAGATCGTTCTGTATTGGTAAACCTATGAAATGTATAACCAAAAGAGATTCTATTATTAAAAAGCGGGTAAGGGGATGTCGCTCTGCTGTACAGTAGGTTACAAGTGGGTCACTGTATAATGGATGGTAATTCAATGATACAATATCATTGTATAAGAAAAACGATTCTGAGTGGAGACTGTATGTCAGTCTTGGTTTAAGACATATTAATACCAATATATCTGAGTCGAAATTCGAATTTTAAATGCTTATAAAAAAAAATTGTGCCTATGTATTTTAAATATTTTACAATTGCTATTGTAAAAATATATCAGGAGCCTTGTATTAAATGTTCAAGCTTTTTCGCCCAACAAATAAAATTGTATTGGTATTTATGGAAAAAAAAACTAAGAAAATTGAAAATTGACAATGTTCGTAAACATCTCAAAAAGAGTCGAATTATTTTCAAAATTTTATCGTGTTTAGAAAATGCTAATATCAACATTCAGTGAAATTTCATATATCTACGGCCATTTGTTTTAGAGTTACACCAAAAACCAAAATCGATTTCGCGTAAAAATTCCCGTTTTTCCTTAATTTTTATTTTGTTTTTCACGTCGCTTTTGAAAACTACTAGGACATTTTTACTTATGACCCCCCAAAGTACCAACAATATTCACTTTTCAATCAGAAAAGTTGCTGTTGAAGAAAATCGAAGCAGTTTTACTGTCCTAAAAGGTGATGACAGACACAAAAAAAAAAATAAAAATAAAAACACACATCATTGTAAAATCAATACATTCATCGTTCCACTCAAAATACAATGTAAGTATATTATAATTTAAGAGGACGCCAAACCCGAATTACTACCTTATACAAACGAAAAACAGTTAATTTCCGCTAAAAAGAGCCATTTTTTTCTAACCATTTTCTATCGTTGGTTTTTATAAAATCGTATATCTATTTCGAAGGGTTTACCGATTCTAAAATTCAAATTTAAAAATATGATCTGTGTTCTCTCGTTAGTTTCTATATGATGTATTATTTAGGTATATATTTTAATATTAGAGTGAATTATTTTTATACATTTTTAAACAGGGATAAATGGACACGGTAGGTTTTTGAAACAAAAAATCTTGTCGAAGCTAATCATCCAAGTTTGTAGTCTTTTTTAACGTGCTTCAAAATATACAATCAGGTAGAGACTTTTTTTGTAGTCAATTAGAAGCAGGAAATAGTCCCTCTAAAAAATAATTTTATGTATTGATATTGATGTTTATTTTTTATTGATTATATTTTGTAGTAATGTTTTTTATTTATGCATATGTGTTATGTAACTATTACGTTTTAACTATTACATTTTTTAGCTAGGTATATATTTTTATGTATGCATATGTGTAATGTAACTATTGAATTTTTAACTATTATTTTTTTAGCAATGTTTTTAATTTATGTAAATATTTGAATAGATGTATGCTTATAAACTATAATTTTAATAGAATATAATTATAATTTTGTTCTCATGTCCAAATTTAAACGTCCGCGTCTATTTGTAATAGATCGTTAAAATTTAAGGTAAGAATTATCTATCTTTTTCGTTGAATACAATGTAAAGCTAGTTATGCCTTATGAGTATATGTGCATATATTAAATAATTAAAATTCACTTCACAACATTAGAATATAAAAAAAAAAAATAATAGATTATATTTAGTATATTTAAATTTAACAATCGGTAAATAATTTACGATTTTATAAAAACTAACGAATAACGATAGAAAATTAATTCTATATCTAAATTTAAATTTGCTATCTTGTACTTGTACGTTTACGGTTGTAAGTTATAGACAACATGAGCTGGCGTTTGCGGATCTATAATATTTTTCGGTTCAGCGCAGAACCTGATTTTGACTACCAATAAAAAATCGCATAAGTTAAATAGATCGTTCTAACTCATTCTTTAGCATAATTTAATATTTCATATTTATGAAGTTGTTTTTTTTTGTAAAATATCAATCCCCATTTTTCCTTAATTTGTTTTCTTTTTCCCGGCGTTTTTCAAACTACTATACATTTTCAAATTTGACCTTTAAAATGAAACAGTTAGATTTACTTCCCAAACAGAAAAATATGTTAATATTGAAAATTGGAAATTATTTCTACAATAAAAATGTTTACAGACAAAAAAAACTTACATCGTTGTAAAATCAAAACATTCATCACTCCGCTCGAAATCTAAAATATATCAATGCATACGAAAAACGACTTTGAGCAAAGACGGTCTCTCGGCGTATGTTTATACATTTATTTATAAACCCCATTCTGCTTATTACAATGTCTATCATTATCTGTAGGTATGTTATGTCAATATACCTAAAAAGATAATATTATATAATTATCTGTTTTAGATTCTGAGCGTAGAGAATGTAGGTACTCTATATTTTACAATGATGTGTGTTTTTTTCGCTCTCTGCAGTAAACTCTCAGCAACAATTTAGGGTAATAAAATTGCTTAGATTTTCGACGTTCGCATAATTTCTGATAAAAAATGTAATCTACATGGTACTTTTTGGTCTTCGAAATTAAAAATTCTCAGTAGTTTTATAAAACGTCAGAAAAAAGTGGAAAATTGTAATTAGTATTCATAACATCAAAACCAATTTTTGAATTTTTATTTTTTTGGTGTAATTCAACAATAACGAATAACTTAATTATAAAATTTGAAATTGTCACTATATATTTATATTTTAATTTTCCATACATTATGGTAAAATTTTAAAAATGTTTTGGGTCTTTTTGTTTTATTTATAGCCATGGGACATAGTCTCAATTGAGTGACTTATTTTTCAGTTATAAATTCATATTGGTTTTTATTTTCAAAGCAGACATTGGAAATTTTAATAGAAGATTTAATTTATAGAAGAATCCAGCCTTTCAACCTTTATGAAAAAAAAAGTTTACCGAAAATGTATGTTATAAAGTCATGAGATATTTTCTATTTTTATTATTTTTTCTTTTGATTATTAAATTTGATTATTATTATACAAGTATGCTAGAGCCTAGAATATAACACAACGTCTAAGCTCAAAATCGTTTTTCGTATACAATGATTTATCATATAGAGTTTAAATATAAGTATAAATAACACATCCATGACAATGACGTACTCGACAACTTTACTGTGCAGCAGAGCAGTACCCTTTTGTCTACTTTTTTTTTATATTAGGTACTTTTAAAATGTTATAATTTTAATTGATTGTTTTACTATTCGTAATAATCGATAGGTTGAATTAATTTTTCTCATAAACATTGAAAATGTCATCATTGTGTGTATAAAAATACTCATAAATAGTACCTAATTACTTTTCAATAGGTAATCCAATTTTAATACATTATACAAATTTAAATACCAATCTATGGCATATATAATTATTAATCACCTATTAATATTATCGATTTTTTAATTATTGTCGTTCATTGCTAATATGTTATTCCTAAAATAATCAATATCAAAATTCCTAATTTCTCAAAGTCTATTCAGTTATCTATTTATTTGTCTAATTAATAATTTATGCTCCCCTTTATTATTCGCTACAACATACAATATCATTAAACTGTTATCCCATATAGATCCCTTATAGGTTATAAGTTTTTTTGTAATATGGCTGAACGGGGAATTTACCAATATATGATTTGGCGGAAAATTGAAATTCCCTATCACTATACCAATTGCCAGCTACATCTATTGGTCATTATAATCATTATATAAAATTCTCAGTTTTTACTTTTCCTTAACACTTAGGTGGAGGTAGATACGTAATATTTTTAATGAATTTTACTGACTCTGCACCGCCCACAGCGAATCGTTTTCCAAGTGTTTAGCGTACATTTGCGTCTGTTGGCGACACGCCGTACTGCCAACGTCTCTGGGCCCGTTGAAGTCGACCAGCGCCTCGTAGAAGAGTTTTGAGATCCATATTTTCGGAAAGCCGTTGTTCGCCGAACCGTCGATATCGATGGACGTGACTTCGAAGACATGACTGAAGAAAACGACACCCGCACAAACTAACAATGACGCGCACGACATTATAATGGCGTTATTTATACAATATTAATATTTTTATTATTATTATTATTGATATATTATTAGTATTGAATTTCATCCATTATGCGTTCGGTCCTTCGCAAACACCGGTTCGTGAGCTAATGGAGCGGGTTTGTAACGTTTGCGTGGAACAGCGGCGATCGTGAATCAAGGATTAAACCTCCGTCGGAAGTGGTTTACTGCACGATCAGTATAATCGTAATTAGTACCCAGGTATTTTATTTAATTTTATGAAGATGGCTACACGACTCTACGGAAAACACTCGTAAATCGAAATTTTCAGAAAAAAAACGTTTTCGTGGATGCACAGTGCACTGTGCATTTGGATATCATATGTATCATAATTTTTCCCGGTATTTTCATAAGATAATACTCAAAAACAAAAACTATAAACTATAATATTATTATCCAAGCCTGAGAAATTTAATGATAATTTTTAATTGAGTTAAGTTAAATTGATAGAAAACATTTTAAAAAGTATAAATTTAATAATTATTAATTATCCTATTTATTTTTAAACTCAGTTAAGTTAAAAGTCATATATATATATATACATTAAATATATAAATAGCCAGCAGTACGTGATGGTTTAAAACAATAAAAGGTAAATGTTTATGCAATATGTATCATTAATAATAATTGTATTATATCTAATATTTAATTATTAATATGTTAACGTAATTTGAATGTTACTGAAATTAACACTTTAACTTTTTACCTAGGCTTGTTATTATCAATATCAATTTAAAACAGCTCTTCGCTTCTCCTGTACAATTTGGTAAATTCGACTTACAAGGGTTTGCGGTGCAGCCATTGATAAACCATTTTAAGATACCAATTATAAAATAATTATATGAATGGAATATTAAAATATTGTATCTGATACTTACATACACCGCGAACTTTTATGTCCGGGTGTTAGTACTGCGTAGTTATTATATCATAAAATTAAATAGATTATAACCAATGTATAAATATTCGGTATATAGATATACCAAATAGGTAATATGAATTATGATCTTATAAGTGTGTAGAAGGTGGGTATAAGAATCATGTTAATATTATACATCTATACTTTGAAGTTTAAACCAAACGAGTACTAATAATATTAATAATAATTATTACCTATATTTCCCGCAGTTTCAAATACTACTTACACAAATTATAAATGTTGTATAATATTATTAAAGGGCAAATCTATAGGTTGTTGACCAAATTTATTAGAATAAGCTATTGCCGCTTAGTAAAACCTAAAACTTCCCCTAACCTATATTTACTATTATTAAAGTAAAACCATAATTTATGAAAACATTTAGTTTGATAAATAATATTGTAAAATGTATATGTAAATTTTAATTTAAAAACTAATTAGGTATCTAATTTCTAATTAACGAAAGTTGTGAAAAGTAAGATTAGCCCTTTTAGATCCAATATGCCCCTTCAATAGGTATTAAAATACATATAATATGCGGTTTTTATCAGCCTTGCAGTTTAAATTAAAATTGAGGTGTTTTGGTGCAACTTTTTTTAACATGGAACCTGGCGCTGTTAGCAAGGTCTCTAAAATCCAAAAATCTACTGATGTTCTATATATTTAGATATGTTGTAAGTACCATACTGAAAGTATCAGATATACATTCATTTGTTGAAATAATGAAATCGTTTTTCTGTATACAATTGTAATGGATACCACTGAATGTACTATTTTGGTACATTACTACTTACGTACCGAAACTGTAACTGGGAAATGAGCTTGTAATGAGTACAGAGCACAGTATAGTTTGAAACTCAAAAAAGGGTATATTCTTAACTTTCCTAGCTGTAACTACTACTGATTAATAAATCTGTCGAAAATAACAGCTGATAGAATATAGCACATTTCATTTATTTGTATAAAAAAAACTGGTAGATTTGGGCAACTCATCTATGATTTTTATATTTTTTATAGAGTTAAGGTTTCGACATCTGAAGTCATTGGCCCGGGTTATTTAGTTGGTTTATAACTGTGGGGTAGGGTATGATTTGTTAGAACACATGCATATATGCCAAGGATTTGTCATTAAAAACCCAGGTGGACACCAATCCGGGAACTAGTTGTACCGGCCGATGCTTGACCCCATGAAAATCAGAACACGTTAGTGACAGGCCCAACACCATCGAGCGATCAAATTACATCATAATATTAATATCATGAATTTTATTTAATAAGACGATAGTTATAGCATATACACAACAGCGAATATTAGGCTTCGTGAAGTTGGTTTCGTACATAAACATACAAAATTAAGTTAACTTTAATGAAATCATTTTATATAAGACTAATTTGTCAGACCAAATTCAATAGTTGTTATTACTATATTGAAGTATGTAAGTAAGTATACCTGTGGCGTACACTGCTATTTATAATGGGGAGGGGGTAGTTTTACATAAATAAATTATAAACATAATAATATTTAGGTATATGTCAATACAACAAAATATTAAGTGGTTTAACGTAGATTTATTTTTATCATAGAACCATATCTAATATCCAGGATTTTTGATCCAACTCGTAAATGACCTCTTCAGGAGTTAATAGCATAGAAGTTCATGAACTGTTTGGATGAATTAAGGAAAGAAAATCCCGACCTCGGAAAAAAAAACTCTGCAGAATTACAATAGGTACCTATTACTTATAAATACATGCAAATTATTGAACAAATATATTTTATGCGCTCATTGATGTAATTGCCAATATCATTAATATTAAATTACAAATATTATATACTTATAGTGTAGTATAATATAGATTGTTAAAATGTATAAAATGTTCAATTGTTATAGTTAATAAGGATTGAAAATTTAAAATGTTACGTTCCCTATAATATTTTGACGATAATGTAAATATAATATTATTAGGAGGAGTTTTTACAAGTTTTACTGTATGTAGAAGCACATGCAATATTTATAAAATAAAAATAAAAACAATTATCAAACAACTGCAGTAAGTAACTATCTGCTGTTTGTTAAACAGGAAAAAAAGTACTACACCGTACACGACAATAGGTAACATTGGAAGTTCTTAATATTCTTATTTCGTATATTATGATCATATTATCGTAAAAATATTATAGGAAACGTAAAAAAAAATATTTATTTTAGAGATCTAATTTCACAGAATTATTCATAATACCACAGTATAAAACAAAATATTATTAACATATAATATGTAAAGTATATATTTGTTATTACTTATTAAATATGAATAATGATGGTAATTACTAATTAGTAATAAACTTATAAATTAGCGTTTTTCAATAATTTGCATGTGTTTATAAGTAGTTGTTGGTTGGGGGTTTTTTCAGGGGAATTTTTAATCCAATTACCCTTTAGATATAGCTATAGTTATAAATTATAATATAGGTGTATTTTATTGAATCATACACGGTTCTATAAATATTCTTCGATTGTCGACCCTCATGAATATGCGTTTGAAAGCATTTGAACAAATTTTCAAATATATAATGTCACTAATTAATTGTAATCAATAATGAGGGCTTAGTGAGTGGTGACATTTCGGTATTTTCGCCGTGGTCCGAACGCTTAAACTCCACCGTTTTTACGTAACTGCCTGAACAGTCGGTTTTGAATCGACATAGTTATATTTAGTACACTGCATTAGTGATAGCTAATATAATTTATGTACACTTCATTTTTGTCTTTTTTATAAATAATATTTATTAATTAATCAATTTATTTACTATCAAATATTTTAGGCAAAAAATTGTAAAAATTGTTTTATTTGTACTAATCTTAGACATTTTTACGTAATAAAGTATAGGGAAAAAAATACCATGATGAAGGGGATTTCCGATCAACAGTCAACTCCGTTCAACAATCATCGTCACACTCCATTCGTGCGACACGCCTACGTTGTAGTTGTAGGTGCCGAGTCCACGATGCTGACAGGCGCCATGCAAGTTTCTACCGACATCGATAGCCACTATGCAGCACATTCATACTGACACCCCAAAAACTGGTAGGTTTTTTCTATTTCCGAGAGGGGTAATGTGATGATAACAGGTGCGTTATCACATCATACTCACGCCGGAAGGTTATCTCGCGCGACGCACCTCCCTTTTTGTATCGTATTCATAATTATTATTTCATTTTGTATTATTTTTGTGATTTATGCTGTATACGAGTTCTGTGATATTTTTTATTTATGTTCATTGTCTCACGATTTCGCGTCCCTAATCGCGACGCCAGCGACTGTCCCAGCGACGGGTATGATGCCGCCGTACGACCGACCATTTCATTACTCACCGCCATCGACTGAGCCACACGACTCCGACCGAACTAAATTTCCGTCTGATATCACGTTATAAACGATCCCGACGCAACGCGTTTCAAATAAAACAGTGTTGTTATGTATTCGCCTATCCAAACCTCGTGTGTGTCTTCAAACCTTCCGACGCTGGGGGTCGGCGTCTTCAAAGTACAAACGTTATTTAGCACGGTGTGGTGGTCGACCCTGCTTGCAACCGCTGTAACGGATACATACACAATTGTGCCAAAATCTAAATACGAGATTGTCATAATCTTTATTCTATGACCATAAGTCATTGTCATAACCTCGAAAAAGTTTAGACAGCAGTCAGCACTATTGCATACTACAATCTACAGCTGTGTTTCCATTATTGAGATTTTCTTATCTATAAAATTCAAATATTTGGTAGTTACTAGTTAGTAAATTAGTATTCGATTGTCTAAGACAGATTTAGACTAAAGATAGTCAGCTATCTTTCATATTATTCAAGACTTGTTTCTCTAGGTACCTACTTATCTAATACCTTGGGTAAAACTCAACTAACTTTGTATGTTAATCGGATGTTGATTGAAAAGTTATAATAAATAAGCTCCTTATATTAATTTGTGAAAATTGTCTGAATAATAACTAATAATACCATAACAAATATTAAATTTACATACATTTTATGATATTTGTACTTACATAATCGAGCGCCCAATGCCCGGCCTATAACCATGGACCATTATCCTTTTACACAAAATGTGTAATAACTAGATAACTACTCATTCGAATTTTTATTTCGATACATTAACATTCTTAATA